TTTATTAATATCAAAGCCGGGAAGCGGGCCCGGCGTCCCTTACAAAATTTGCCGCAGCGCTGAGCTGAGCGAGGCACTCGGGCCAAGCAAAGCTCATGCCACGACTATGTCACGACTATATCAAGGGCGGAGACCTTCTAAACACAACAAACAACAGCGTCCTACAAGAACAACCATCATTTACCCTAGCCACGCAAGAAACCTATAAAGAAAACTCCACCAAACTGCCCTGAACACCTAATAAACCTAAAACAACAAAACTCTATATCCTAAGCAGTCATCAAAGGTTTCCAAACCCCAGTCATATACGCATCCAACCAAACTTCAACAGAACTCCACAAAAGAGCCTTGACTCTCTCTTTCTCACTCTCTCTCTCTCTCTCTCTCTCTCTCTCTCTCTCTCTCTCTCTCTCTCTCTCTCTCTCTCTCCTAACTATAGTTAACACAAACCCCAACGAAATTCAGACTCCAATCATATATGCTCCCTACCAATCCCCAACCATGTATGCAAATGAACCAAAACGAAGCACTAACCACGCAGAAAACCACTAAAAAGGAAACAACCCCCTCAAATCAACCACAAATTATGTAACAACTAATTGGTCATCGTAACTATAGAACGAAGAAGATTATCACCACGATAAGGAAGTCTATCCGTCGGCATAAGTACACCCGCAGTCGGGAGAGAGCTCGATCAAACGATCTGTCGTCCCGCTCAGCAACCAGAACCGGCACCTATCAGCTCCAATGCTCCTCATGTCGCGACTTTCATGGTGACGTTTTCCTCCAGTCAAGGCTCCGTATCTAAAACCAGGGGATGAAGACCCCTGATCTGGTTACGATTAGGTGTGCGGCGGCGACCAGGATCTCGCCCATCAGTTGTCCCCACTTCAAACGCCCTCCATTCATCAACTGAAAAGGATTCCCGGCAAATACCGACCGAGACCGGCCATAGCCAGGGGCTTGGTATCACCCCTGTGAAGCATGGACCCCATCCGTGCCCGCGCGCCCTACACCACGTGCCACCCCTGCCATGCCGCCAGCAAGCTCTGGAGTGCGAAGTCAAACACTCGCTGACCCCGCTGTGCGATCCCCCGCTGCCCTGTCACCGCCATAGGCGACGAGTTAGCGCTGCGTTACCGCAGAGCTGCGTTACCGCAGCGCTATCTCTGCGGTAACGCAGCGCTAACTCGTCACAATCCCTCTATCTCTTTTTTTTTTTTTTTTTTTTTTTTTTTTTT